TTATCAAACTCATTAATAATTCATAATGTCATTAGCCAATGATATACTGAGAATCTAATCACGTGATTATACCTTTATATTGGATAAAAGGTGCAGCAAGCTCAAAGTTGGGGGCGGCTTTGAATATTTTCAGGGGAGTGCGGGGCTGATTATCATTCAACGTTTTCCTGATACAGACCTAATTAATAAAACATTAGTTCTGTATCAGTGATACAGAACTAATGTTTTATTAATTAGGTCTGTATCAGGAAAACATTGAGTAATAATCAGCCCCGCACTCCCCTGAAAATATTCAAAATGTCTAAACTCGCGTGCAATCAAACACAATTAAAACAAACTGAAAAATCAATATTGTAGCAATGCCGTTTCGTTTCCTCGCGATTTACTCGATCGTCGGATAAGCTTCTCTGTTTTTCTTGGCGCCTCGTCTTGTATGAATTTGACGATCCAAAAAATCAACGACTCGGCGTTCATGTCATCAAGACCAGCGTCAGCATATCCTGGAATGACTCGCTGTTTTTGAAACTGAAACTGGTGCCCCCATTTATGGCTTTCTTGTTCGCACGGTCTTTTTGCCGGTCGAAAAATAAGGTTGCGGACCATTTTGTTGAATACTTTGTGGAACACTCGCCCAAGCAATAGCACTTTCCTTTATGTTGAGTTTTAGGTCTCATAAATCGACTCGACATGTCTTCGAGGGAGAAATGGAAGACAACTGATTTAATTTTTGCTAACTATGAATGCCTAATATCTTGCAATTCCTTTGACAATTCTAATTTTCTATAGTTTGGCAAGCACATTCTTTAAAAAAAAACAATAGGAAAATAAACAATTTTCAGGAGAAAGTAAAAAAAGCTTCTAATGTGACAATGCCGCTTTCAATTAATCGTTTAGAAATTCCCTTGATAGTTCAGTCGTTTCATGAAGGCGCCATACAAAAGTTATATTTGACACCGGAATATTTAATAACGGCGATATAAGTTGATAATTTTAATCGATGAAATGCGGCAAGATATTCAATTTTTCAAAAATATTAAAATGAGAATTATTATAAAGTTTGATAAGCCGTATACAGAACTCGAGAGCGTGTTGTATCGGGGCTAAAGATCCTCGCCTTCGGCTMGKAWCWTTAWCACCCGATACAACACGCTCTCTCGTTCTGTATACATTACTTATCAAATGTTTGGGTAACCTAACTAGAATTTTAAGAATAATTGAAAAAATTAACTTCTTTTGAGCACGAGCAGTTAAGCTACATATGAACTAATCCCACATGTAGGGACCAGTGAAGAGGCTGCTCCAATTGCTGTCAGATTCAAAACCTAGAGAAGTTCTACAGCAAACTGTTGTGTAATTATGGTTATTACCTGGTACCTTTGCTAGTTCTTATTGATGAATTAAACATTATTTAATTCTTTTAAAGTTAATACGTCAATAATGCTTTATCAATCAATGTTTTATCAGGATTTAAAGACTCAATCACGTGACCTAATGATCAATCCTCATTGGATTAATAGCTCATGAATTATGAATGATATGAATCATTCTTGGGATTTAATACCACTACTGGTACTTACTGGCTGGAGAAATGGTCTTCAAGTCAGCTCTTTGATCTGGTCCAGGTCCAATCTTAGTCCTAGCTCTAAGATAAACAACATATCGAGAATTTGCCTCCATGTTATCAAACAGATGCTCAAATTTATTTGTTTCAACGTTCACAAAAGCACTTTCTGGTGGGACTTTGATCTTCTGGTTATCTTTATACTTGACAGCAGCAATGGAGTAACCCAAAAGGATTCCATTCTTTTCCAAAGGTTCACCCCAAGATGCAAAGATGTAGCTTGAAAAGGCATAGGCTTTGAAGGTTGAAACCTCTCCTGGAACTGTATTAAAAGAGAGTCAGTTATCTGCTATTAGCATTGGAAACAACTTGCATCCTTCTAATAGTATTAATTTTTCTTGGTTTTAACAATACTRAGATACACTTAGTACTCATCATCCTAAGGAGTACGGGTATAACAGGAACCAAATGATAATCTTAAGTTRCAAGCTCTGAGAAGATTTTCCCTGGAGCATAGAAAACCAAGGTGGGTACATGGTGAATAGCATGACATGACTTAAGTTGTAGTGTCATTCTTGCATTGAATCAGTTYAAGGGTAAAACCAGGAGCGATAAGTGTGTCTAGCCCTTATTTCTATAGTGTTCAAACAAATARAAATTATGATAAGTTAATTTAGTAATTAAAAAAAAACATTTGATTCTGAAAAACTGCTAAAGTGGGGTTCACATTAGTCTCTTTTAACAGCTGCGACTTCAGGTCTCGTCAAATTGGAGGAAATTTGACGAGACTGGAAGTCGCGGCTGTTAAAAGAGACTAGGTTCACATGAAAGAAATTTCATTTTCCGCAGCCCTAAATCTATCCAATATAATATTCTTGAGTTATACCACCTGGTTAAGTCATGTCCAGGATCCACCAACAGCAATACACTGAGGTTGATAAACAAATGCACTTCTAAAGAGTTTTTTTTTAAAGAATTCTACATTCACTACACTTAATAAATGACATTCCCACAAACCCTGTCCATCTTATTTTTATGATTTTGAAGCCAGCAAACAAAGAGTACTTGAGAATAAATTTTCTGATTTGCAATCATTCTTACCATCTTCTTTGGTATCAAAGCTGAGTTCATCACTTGAGGGTCCTTCTCCACCACTGTTAAATGCTTTTATAGCCAGGGTGTAAGAGCTATAAGGAGTTAAACCAGTCACRGTGACTTTCTGTCTGTCTTTTGTAGTGTGTTCTGCTATAAATACAGACGCACCAGGTGGGATCTCTCTTCTACTTCTTATGTTTGTTGAATCACTCTTACTTTGACCCCAGTAGTAGATCTTTATTAAAGAAAAAATAAATAATTTTAATATGAAATCACTCATTAAAGAAAATACTAAGTAATTAAAGTAAAAGTATTTTAAAAACTAGCCACACATTATTGTCTCCTTCCTGGTTATGTGTGCTATCTTGAAAGGTAGCCGTGCTTATGTCATYGAAGTARCAACCGTTGAGCRTGCAATGATAGAAACCAYCTTTCATACATACAGATAATTACTCACAGGTATCTATCATTACACACTCAACAGTTGTTACTTCGATGACATRGGCAYRGCTACCTTTCAAGATGGCGCAGCTAACCATGAAGAAGACTATTTTAACATGGATCACTATTTTTTTCATACCTTATAACCATCAATACTTCCACGGCCTTCAATGTCTACCCTATTCCACGATAACTCAATTTTACGAGCAAAAATTTTACCAATTTGAACATCTGTTGGTCTGCCTGTTGGTGCATTCTGACCWGAGTATGATTCCTGGATGTTACTGACTGGACCGGGGCCAATATTATTCCGTGCTACAATCTGGAACTTCCACTTGATGTAATAACCTGCATTTGGTACTTTGAAACGCTCGGTTGTATGATCTGTGATGGTGACCTTTTTTATAAATTGTTTATTATTCTTTTCGTAATCCTCAGCTTTTTCATAGAAGAGGATATATCGGAGACCTGGGGCATTTGCTTGCAGTTTAGTCATYGCCTGTTAACAAAGAAAATGACCATTTAATTTCATAATACCATAACAGTATGTGTACACTGGAAAAAGATGATCAAAAACAGTGGAAATTGAGATCCATTTACATTCTCTCTAAAAGCAGAATCTCAATTTATCTTGTTTGATATATATCAATAAAGGAAAGATTGAATCATGTGCATTTTATTTGATGTGCACTAACTCTGATCACATCTGTCGACCATAATCATTTGCATTAAAACAAAAATGACTGATTTTTGATCAAAAAGCATGGGTTATAGCCCACCAAAATGGCCAAAAATGACCGAATTTTGATCAAAGTGCATGTACTATAATATAGCCCACCAAAATGGTCTAAAAATGTCATGCTTTTGTCTCATAAAATTAGCCTTCAGTACTTACTGTCCAAGCAATGTCCAACTCATTTGCTTTTCCAGGAATACCTCTCAAATTTTTGGGAAACTCTGTTGGCACTGAAAAGTAATATAAAAGTTTCATCAATCTATAAGGTCATTTAAGACTGAAATTTTTTTGATTCTTTGTTTTAAATATCTATCTGATCCAGTGTTGCTGGCATGGTCTTGGTTTCAAAATGTCACACTTTTTTYGACAAAAGAGCTCACACAGATCGCTGCTTTCCCCCATTTTTAGCAATATCTCCAATACAGCATCATAATTATATTTTTTGTGCTGTCGAAATAATGAAGTAAAAAATCATTTTGAATGTTTTCCTTTTTTCTTGTTCTTGAAAGTGAGCCTCAAAACACTTGAAAGCAAAAAAAATTATCTTGCAAATCAATTGTTTGAATGTGCGGACGCGTTGTAGCTATGACAAATTGACAGGAATATTTCCATGCTTTTATTTCGCTCTCCTGTGGATTTTTTGATGATTAAGTTTTCAACTWTTATCCATTTGAAAGATACATGTTTGAGGAAAAACGTTCAGGTGTTTCAACAAATATTTGGCACTTCTTTTCCTTTTTGCTAGGAGTATGGGTTGCCTGTGGTGGTACATGGACAGAAGGAAGGAGTACGCAAACGTGCATATGTGCAGGAACCCTGCGTCGGTTCATGAAAAACCGACTCGATGGATATACCATTTTTCTTAGCTATGGTGCTCCGCTCGCACGGGCCTTCAGACCGTGCGGGAACTCCGCTAAAAATAGCAATATTATAATAAACATCTTAGAAATGTTACATGTTTTTGCATGAGCTCAGTRGTTGTCCTTCATATTTTTTTTTGCCTTTCAATTGTCTTTCAAAATAGATGATTCTCATACTCACATCCTTGCTTGGTGATACATTGTTTTTTTCCAGTAGGAAGACTTGCTCTACTTGGCCCTATCTTATTCACTGCCCTCATTCTGAAYGTCAAGTCGGCCCACAGTGTMAGYGGCAGAGTGTACTTYCGTGCATTTGGTTGACTAATGTTGGCAATGACTATCCATTCCTCTGGTGCATAYGTTGATTCCTGCTCTACAATAAATTTTGTGGTAGGTGAGTCGTTATCTTTGCCTTTTTTCCAGGAAATTGTTGTGCTTGCATTGCTACAGTCAGTAATTGACAGGTCAAATGGAGGGGACGGAACACCTGGAATTAAGAAAGAGAAAGTTGAATTATTAAATAACAACAATAAAAGTGGAGTGAAAACACAAACCCTAAAATAGAAATTACTAATGAATAGTGTTTATTAGATGGGAAAAAGAAATAAGCATAATGTTGATGGATTGCATAATTTTGTTATTTATTTATTTTAACACGGATACTGTTTGCAAGTGATCTGTTCACTTTATTTATAATGACTAAAAGAAATAATAACATTCAACATTTAACAATTATTATCATTATGAGCACTTTCTGAAAGCAAGGAAAGTAAAATGTAGCATTTACTGATGCAGCAAGGGTAACAATTAGGAAGAGTAACAAATAAAAAAAAAAAAATAGCAAAGATGCAAAAATCCAAAACAATACTTATGATAAATTTTTTAATAATGTAAAGACACCTAAGAGATGACTAAACTACCTTCAACATCAGCAATTGTAGTAAAAGTATCTTCTGAATATTGCTTAGTGTCAGTGTAWGCAACACACTTGTACATGGCGCCATCGGTGACAATTGCTTTTTTGATTCTTAGRATATTCATACTTCCCATCCATATCACTCTGCTGTCATACTTCAAGGGAGCATTGTCCTTTAGCCATTTGTACTTGAGGAAAGCTTTYAGCCTTGGGTCGGCCCTCGCYTCACACTGTAARTCAAGTGGTTTGTCCAGSGTGATGATGACATTTGCAGGAGACTTGCGRATGATGACAGTCCTTTCTAAATAAAWCCAAGGAAAGCAGAAAGATATGAGTCATTTTCTTTATTATTGAATGCATTACTAATATTCCAGTTTCAAGATCTTATTTGTGCATCCTTAACTTCAAAAGCATGTTATATATATTTTTTTATTCAGCAAAGAATTTATTGAAATGCAAACATTCGTTGTACAAAGGAGACAATAAAAATTCATACTTCAAAAAATATTTTAAAATTGCAGCTAGGATGTTCCACACTTTGCATTTTGCCACTGCACTGAAGAAGATCGCAGTTGTGATCGAAACATCTGTATTAAATTTATTTTTTTCAAGCAAGAGATGACTCAATTTTTTATCAAAAATTTATGTTTGATTGAAGATAAGTTGCACAAAAGAGAATTAGAAACTTTTGACTACTCTTATTACTATTACAATTTTAAATAAACAAAGACTGTACAGTATGTTAACTTTATGTGACTTGCTTAAGTATGCCAGTAACTTAGTTGGACTGAATTGAAATTAATGCATACAATTTTCTGTTTTCAAAACATTGCCATGAAAATACTCATTTAGTTTGAAATTAGCTATTTTCTTTTAGAGTCCCATACACAGTTTTGATTGGTAAACCCTTACATTGAAGTGAGAGGCAGGTTGGACATGCAATGACAGAAACCTACCTAAAAAAGGATTGTCATTGACAAATATCATACCTAGTCTAAAAGGCATAATGTACTTTAATACCTAATGGTTAGGTACTCTGGCGCCATATACCTATCCAATAGGTATCAAAAAACTTGCCCGGAAATAAATAAACACCTTGGACTTAAATAGACCCTTGTTTAAGTTTTTCTTTGGAAATAATAGATATAAAAAAGTAGACAAATGCACTTGATAGCAACTTTTGCAGCAGTTTTATCAGGTAACCCTGCATGTCAGCTACAGAATTTACACAAATTAAYTAGATCATACCATAAACAGTAGAACTTTCCGTTGCTTCATCATTTCCGATGGAATTCTTGGCTGCGCATTTATACTTTCCACCATCAGAATCAACCACGTCACGGATTATAAGAGAACCCTGTTTATCTAGCGAATAGCGACCTTTTATTTCGAGCTTCTTGCCATTGTGATACCAGGTGTGGTCTGCACGAGGAGCAGCATTTGATTCACATTTGAGGGTGGCATTTGTTCCCTTGAATAGATAGAAAGGTCCAAATTTCAGGATGTCTGGTTTATTAGCTGAAAAAACAATAACCAAAGGTGATTTAATACCAATTATTGGTGTGATTAATTTTGGATTTATAGGTTTTAATAGCAAACACCTACTCAAAAAAA